TTCTTAACTCTCCACAAACCAGCTGACTGATCTTCAGGAAAATTAGAAAATTGAGCTATTTAAAGAGATTCTAAAGCATTCACACACAAGTACAAAGCCAAGTCTCCCAAAACAGAATTTGGCAAACCAGCATGACCAATGTCCAAAGAGATGCTTACTGGTGCAGAAGAGGAAGCCTTTAAACAGAGACACTTAACTAACGCTACTTACAGAAATAATGGGCAAGGGTGGTGGGGAAGGAAGATGGAAAGGGAGAGGAAGGAGTGGAGGAAGAGAAATAACCACAGAATTGATGGATTTCCAGTGTCTGAAATCAATGATGACCGATGTGTGTGGCTGGTCCCACTGGAGGGGCCTCTCAGGACCCTTATTATTCCAAACCCTTATTTTCCTTACAAGTAGATGAGCTTGGGGGGTTCCCAGTGGCCACCAGCAGGAAGTTGACCTGAACAGTGATTCTCTGCAGGGAGGTCCCCAGGTGATTCTTACATGACCTTCCCGGCCCCCTCCCCAGACAGCACCTCCTCTCACTGCCAGGCCCCCTCCCTACCATCACACACACTGAAAACCACAAACCCAGAGGTGAAAAATAAAGATTTAGAAAACACGACACACAGTATAAAGGTCAAAAGCCGTCAGTGACCCAAGTAGTTCAGGAAACAAATTGGGAAATGTTGCTTTTTATTAATTCAAGGAATATTTTTTGTCTATCTACCATCTGTCGGGCATTGCAGAGAGACCATTCACACATCAAATCTACGCTTTCTTTTGCACCATCTCCCACAGGAAATTCTGCCAACATTCAGCAAACCCTCTATACTCTGTCACTCCCCTTCACTAATCTGATCGTATGCCTTCATTTGAAAAACACATAACAGAATATTCTCTGGCAGTATGCCATCCTTTTCAGTATTTAATTTTCCTACTAATCTAAAAACATTCAGCCTACTAATCAAAAAATTTTTTAAATAGTAGAGATCTAGCTCACAAAACATTAATGACCACTATTTGCAAATCTTACTTATCACAAAGATCATATTCTAAATGAAGTGTAGTTAATATGATTATTTATAGGTTAAAAATAAATCGCTAATCACAAAGTATTCAAAATAACATACAACTCAGAGCCAGCATCGATCTGGAAATCCAGACATCTAGGATTCAACCTATCTCTTTTCAGCTATCACATATCAAAAACCTCCTGGATGCCAGACACCTCAGCTAGCATTTCAAAGCATCCTGTCTCACGGGAACCCCCCAGATTCTTGACTCTTTCACTTTACAGATAAAAGAAATGTCAGCAACAAATCTGTGATCTTTGGCAACTTGTTACTTCAAAGAGTATTAAATTTGGGAATGTCACCCAAAATGGGGGCTTCTGTTTACTAAAGAATTCTAACACTTCAGGCAAGAATAGAATTGTCTTTGTATACGTGGTTAAAGACCTTTCATCCGCTAAACACCAACATTCTAGATAGTTCTCAAGTCATAGAATCAAGATGAGTCTGTTTGATAGTTTCACCATTGGAAAGTGACCTAGAGACCAGGCGTGGTGGCTCACGCCTGTAACCCTGGCACTTTCGGAGGGAAAGATAGGTGGATTACTTAAGGTCAGGAGTTCCAGGAGAGCCTGAGCAAAAGTGAGACACCCTCCTCTTTCCCAAAAATAGAAGAAAAAAAAAAATAGCCAGGCTTGATGACATGTGCCTATAGTCCCAGCTACTCAAGGTTGAAGCAGGAGGATCACGAGAGACCAGGAGTTTTAGGTTGAGCTACAATGACACCACTGGACTCTACTCGGGGTGACAGAGTGAAACTCTGTCTCAAAAAAAAAAAAAAAGTCACATAGATACAAGAAAGAAAGCAGGAAAGCGTGCTTAATACTTACAGAGAAGGAAATCCTATGGGTGTATCTATATATTATACACTGACTCATCAAACAGAATTTGAGGCAGTAGTGGGTTGTCTTCATTAAAAGCCTTCCCTGGCCCAGCACGGTGGCTCAGCCCTGTAATCCCAGCTCTCTGGGAGGTGGAGGCGGGCAGATTGCCTGAACTCAGGAGTCCAAGATCAACCTGAGGAAGAATGAGACCCCGTCTCTAAAAATAGCCAGGCTCTGTGGCGGGCGCCTGTAGTCCCAGCTACTTGGGAGGCTGAGGCAGGAGGATCACTTGAGCCCAAGAGTTTGAGGTTGCTGTGAGCTATGACAGCCAAGCACTCTACCAAGCGAGACAAAGTGAGACTCTGTCTCAAAAAAAAAAAGCCTTTCCTATGGGTTATCTCTGGAAAGTGTCAGAGAAACATCTCCTAAGAAACTTCATTTTGAAGCTGAATTTTTAAAAGGAAGAGATGGATGCCAGCATTACAAATTTCCTCCAGAGGAAAACCAAAACATAAGAAATGAAACAATATCTCAGTCAGTACAGGCTTCCTCATTGAGACCCAAATGTCCACATATCCCAAAGCTAAATACACCTGTCAAAGTGAAAAAAAATAAATAAATAACCTACAACTCAGATGACAACTGAAGAAAAACGCCACAAACCCCAGGCGAAGCTCAGACGCAAAAGGCCCTATTAAATCTGGTCTTTCCTCTTCCTTTCTACAAAAAGCTTTCCAGCAAGGCTCTTAGATTTCCTCATCTCATGGGATTTCCTTCCTGTTGCTATTGTTCCTCTCTTTAAGCCTTCCAGCCAAATGTCCGCCTTTATGAAAATGGACAGATTACATTTCAGAATTGTAAAAGGAAGAAAAACCCAATGGCTGTTCCTCCCATCTCCGGCATTTGCATACTATGTAATCATTAGTGCTCATAGCTTTCTCTGGTGTCATAGCTTTGGGGATGGGTGAGGCAAGATGGCCAAAGGTGTAAGTTTGGGGCATTTTTTACCTACTTTAGATGGGTGTTTTGAAAATTCCTCCAGCTTAACAATTTAAAAGTTTGCACAATACCTGGTACCCTGTGTGGCGAGATGTCCCTGCGAATATGAAGACCAGTGACATGGCATTACTATGAAAACAGCTCAGGTGCAGCATAAACACCGGTAACTTAAACAGCTACAGAGCAAAGAGAATCCCCACCAATTTCACGATGTTCCCCAGTCAAAGGCACTTCAAGGAAGGATCAAAAGGGCAGACACTGGATAATAAATGATTCCATGTAAAGGTTAAGGCATGCGCATAATTTAACAGAGACTTCCAAGATAAGAAAGTTTTAAATTAGAAAAAGTCATCTACTTAAGTATAAAGCTAAGAAGGCTAAAATCTATTTTTGAAAGCATCAACACTTATTTTTTAAAAGGCTTTTTTTAATTATAGAAAAACACAGAAGAGAAAACTTACCATCATAATCATTTTTACATGTACAGTTTAGTAATCTTAAATATGCTCAACTGTTTTGCAACCAATCTCCAGAAGTCTTCATTTTTCAAAACTAACACTCCAAACCCAGTAACCAACAACTCTCTATCTCCTCTTCCCAGCCCCTGGTAACTACCAGTCTACTTTCCATCTCCGTGAACTTGACTACTCTAGGAACTTCATGTATGTGAAACTCTGTGGTTTCGTCTTGTTTTTCCAGAAATTTATTCTCAGAGGCAGGATCTTGCTATGTTGCCCAGCTGATAGTGCAGTAATGTGATCGCAGCTCACTGAGGCCTGGAACTCCTGGCCTCCAGCAGTCCTCCCATCTCAGCCTCCT